TGGGCCTGTGAGCTCGAGCTCGCCGGGCCGACCCAGGATGTGGCTCCAGGAACGCCCCATCCGCAGAGAGGAGAGAGTGACCAGGGAGGCCAGATGGAAAAGCTGGCGGGCCGGGGCGTAGGAGGCGCCGTCGGGCCTGGACGGTGGAGAGCGAACCCCGAGCCTGGAGTGATGTGGTCCCGTCCTCTTACCTGCGGCTCGCAGCGCTTGACGCAGTAGAACGCGGGCGCTGCGGTCCGCCGTTCGCGCCCCTCCACGAACACCGAATCCTCAAACTCGCCGCCCAACAGCCAGCACTCGGATTCCATACCTAGCCCGCAGCCGGCGCAGAGAGGAGGATGTGCCTGGAACGGTGCCCATTGGCCTACCGGTCCGGAAGGGGTGGGACCGCCCGAGTTTAGAGCTCAGTATGCTGGGAATTGTAGTCTCAAAGGGGGCCAAAAGGGGACGTAGCCCTCTTTTGGCTGCTTGTCGCGGTTAAACTGAGATTTTTATCTGATTCACAAATTTGCAAAAGCTGGCAACAGAGGGCTTGATTTATGCGGATCCGGAGAGGGACGGAGCGACCATCAACAAGCACTGGTCTCAGGGTGGTAAAGTTGTTACGTGAAAACGAATCGATTCAGACTCATACCGAACCTGAATAGGGTTTCCAAGGAGAGACTGGAGGGTTTGAACCGCTGACCTTGAGATTACCAGTCCTGTGCTTTTCCTGGCGTCGTGCTAAACATGAATGGCCTTTCCTAACCCAGATTTATAACAGGCATGATTATACAGGTATTCGGATTGAATAAACTGGGGCTTAGATTAAGTAATTTGGCTTAATATGCACTGTTGTGTGCGGTGGAGTCTGTTAGACTCATAGCGACACTATCTATATAGGGTTTTCCAGAGGGGTTGGTGGGTTTGAACTGCTAATCTTGCAATTAGCAGTCCAGTACTTATCCTACAGAGCCACACCAGGACTCAAATAATCATTTTGCAAATGAAGAAATCTGGATTTAAAAAGATGTTAAGTGAGTTGCTCCGGATCAGTTATCACGTAGCTGCTGTTGTAAAGTGCCGTCGAGTCGGTTCCGACCCATAGCGACCCTCTAGAGGGTTTACAAGAAGCTTGAACCACCAACCTTGCAGTTCAAATTGACTTTGCAGTCTAGCGCATTAACCCACTTGGCTAAGAGCTGAAAAATGTGTGAGCACAAGTAAGCATTCTCATGTTTCTGGAGAAGAGACAAGGGGCTTTAACCACTGTGCTACCAGAGCTCCTTTCTAATAAGAATGACCAAACATTTACAAACTAGAAGACATAGAAATGTACTCTAGAGGATTCAGTTTAAAACCAAACTCACTGCCATCGAGTGGACTCGGACTCATAGCAACCCTGTATAAGGTTTCTGATACTGTAAGACTTATCTTCATGGGGGCAGACAGCCTCATCTTTCTCCCGAGTAGCCACTGCTGGTGGATTTGAACAGCCCACGTGTGGAGGACTCCATAGTTAACCTTCCAATTCTAGGATTTGGTGGCTTCATCAGGTTAGCTCCTTAAGGAGCCCTCGTGGCGCTGTAGGATAAGCACTGGACAGCTAACCACAAGTTCTGTGGTTCAAACCCACCAGCCGCGCCTGAGAAACTCTATACAGGGTGGCTATGAGTCAGAACTGATTCAATGGCACTAAACCAAAAGCAATGATAGAATTCTTATACCTCAAGTGTTCCTTGAGACTAGAAAGCAGGTTATTAATAAGGAACTTACTGGCCAACATTACACAACTCAATCATTGTGCTGGATGACACCAGTACCAAAAACCAGGTGCCTTAGAGTTGGTTACAGTTCTTGGCAAGTATGTCAGAGTAGAACCAGCACCCCATAGAGTTTTCTTTTAACATCTGATTTTTTGGAAGTAGATCCCCAGGCCTTTCTTCTGAGGTGCCTCTGGGTGGACGCCACAGAATCTCCAGCTTTTCCAATAGCTGCCGAGTGGTTTGACAATTTTCACCACCCATGAATATTACACAGTCAGTAGTAGACATGGGCTCCCTTGGTTTTCTTCCGGTTTCTCCTCATTCTCTCTCACCAGTTCCTCTTCCAATAATTATTGTCCCTTGAAATTTGTTCCCTAAGCCTCGTTCTTCAACCCAGTTTCCTGCGCCACAAATTCACCTAGAGGAACCTCATCTACTCCCTGAAATTTCAAAATCCAAGTCTTAGCTGGTGACTCCCAAATCTATAACCTGCCCGTGCATCCAATAGCTTTAGGAGTGGGGGCTCCACCTGGACAGGCTCCAGGCATTAACATGAGCCACTCAAAAAGAAATTTAAAAGAGTACAAGAAAAAGAACATTGGGTTTACTATCAGAAGGGTGATAGTCTTTATTATGAAAATTTGGAAAAGGAATCTATAATAGCATCATCCAGAAGTAATGAATTTTAAAAGGAGGTAAAATATTTGCCCTAATTCTAATATGCTCTGTTCTAGCCCAAGAGGTAGCGGTGTCATAGAGCCTCAAAGAGCAGACTCGCGTGGAATTGTGATCTTGGTTCAGTTTACTCACTAGCTGGGACCCACTTTGTAAAAGGGGCATTGTTTCAGGGAATGCATGTCAAAGGTCTACCAGAAAGCAAGTGTGTAATACGTGTTGACTAGGTGCTCTAGTGGCACAACATTTAAACACTCAGCTGCTAACTGAAAAGTTACTGGTTTGAACCCACCCACCAGCTCTTCAGGACATAGACCTGGTGCTCTGCTCCTGTAAAGATTGTTGTTAAGTGCTATCGAGTCAATTTCCAAGGAACAGCTGGTGGGTTTGAACCACTGACCTTGCAGTTAGTAGTCCAGTGCTTATCTGACTGCACCACACCAGGACTTCACCTAGAAAATCCTCCAGGGCCGTCCGACTCCGTCATGTAGCGTTGCTGTGAGTTGGGATTGACTCCGTGGCATCCAGCAACAACACAACATGTTGACAGGCATGGGGCTTGGATTAAGTAACCTGCACTTCACAGGGACTACCTCGAGATTCTCATTTTGCAAATGAAGAAATCAACTCAGCTTAAGCAACAGTTATGTGACCCTGATTGCAAACTACTTTCTCCATTTTGAAGGCTGTTTAGTTCTGGAAAACGTCCACTTAATGAATGAAGATCCCTGCAGGTCTAGCCTTCTTTCGGCCCCACCCCCAAAAATGACCTCGACTTTCAGGAATTGTTCGGGGTTGGGCAGCATATGGGTAAAAGGTAGTTCTTTGGCCTTTGGACTTAAAATTCCTGAGCTAAGGGGTTTCCAGCATTTGTACAACTATGAAGCATTTCAGTTACTTTTTCCCCCATAAGTTATGGCAAATTTGGGTACAAAATAAAACCGCATTTATTGAGTAACAATTCCTTATTTTATTTAAAAAAAAAAAAAAATGCAACCCAAGCCTCTCCAGGCCTGTGTCTACCAGCATTACTTCACTGCCTGCTGGAATCCCATGGAAGCCAAGAAATAGCTGTTAGGAATCCTGGGGAGCCGGAAGAAACGTGGTTGTAGTTTTTTGTTGTTAAGTGCCATGGAGTTGGTTCCAACTCATAGCAACCCTGTGTAGAGTTTCCAAGGAACAGCTGGTGAGTTTGAACCATCGACCTTGCAGTGCAGTGCATTATCCTGCAGTGCCACACCAAGCCTCCAGGAAGAAAGAGAGATGATTTATCTTGGACTGTTGGCAATAATGAAAACAGCTCCAACACCTCTTTCACTATTGAGAAACTGGGGTCCAGGGGCCCCACATTTGAGCCACGGATTCAGCTGACAGAGATTCCCCTATCATTTTAAAAGAGTAAAGTAACAAAAGAAAAGGGCATTTTATACTCTGCAAATGAACCCACATGATGCACTTTCAGAAACACTAAGTGTTAGGGACTAAATAGGAATTCTGCAAGTATCTCAGATCGTCCGGGTTGTGATAAAAATCTGTTTCCATAGATTTTTTTTTTAAATGTCTTATTGTGAATTATGTGATAGTTTACATGGGAGAACATTAGTTTTACATTCATCCTATCGTATATCATTTCACTGCCATGGTTACAGTCCCCTCCATGCATCATCGATCAACCACAGGGTACACCCTGCAAGTCTGCCCACCCCCCACCCCCCACCCCCAGTCATCAGCACACAGCCCCTCTCCCTCTCTGGGTCTGGAGTCCCCAGTCGGTCCATCTCTCCACGTCATCATCTCTGCCTCCATCTCTGGCATCACTGCTTCTCTGGGTAGGGTCCCACTCTCCGCTCTTCTCCCAGGGACCTCCGCTCCTAGACTGCAAAGTCAATCACTCCCCTCCTTTTGCTACAAAAGTCTACCTTTACATTTCCAACCCTCACAATCAGTCCTGATAACAATTATTCATTATTGTATCACAAGAGACCTATCTGCATCTCCTTTCATCAGCGCCCCCTAGACAGAGTGGATCGTACTCAGTGGAGATTCTACCTTCCTCCACGCCCTCTGGATCTAATTTCCTCTTGAAAGCTTGTAAGCCAGTCACTTCTTGCCTTTGAAGCCCCCCATTTTGTCCAAGTTGCCCATCCCTGTCGACTCTGTGTATGGAGAGGGTGGGAATGATCCTCGCTGTAAAGATTTGTTGCCTCTTTTGAGGTACTGCATCCATAGATGTAGGTCAAGTTCATCAAATTGTATCAGATTGCTCTTTTTTCCCTCTTCTTTCTTCTTCTGGTTGAGCTCTGATCATCTAGTCATTGAAGCCAGGTCAAGTGGGTATTATCTGCAAGTGTGGGTGTCCTTGTGCATATGCCCTCTCTTCTTATTAGCTGGATGCTTCACTCTCCACTCTAGCCCTCTGTGGCTATGTCACTGACTCTGGGCCCAAGAGTCCCCAGGTCTTGCCACACTGCTGGCCAACCAGGTCTCCACCAGGGTTCACAGGAGTCTATTGAACATTGTAGGGCTTAGCTCGCAGCTTCATTGCTGTATGTCCCTCACTTTCCCCTTATCGGTGATGAGCGTGGTCACCAATCAGAGCGTGTATTCCCATTGAATCTTAGTCTTAGAAGGGGGTTTGCTCTGAGGGGACCCGACAGCTTGCCTTGATGTCTCCTGAGTGAACAACTTGCTTGTTCTTGTAGTAATCAGTCGGTCTGCTTATATTGTTTTGTATTTTTTCTGTCGGTCTTTCTTTCAAGAAGTATCTTCTGTTTTTCTAGCCCCTCCAGGCTGGTCTGCTTGTCCTTGTTTCCATAGATTTTTATCTACACATAAATGTCTGTTTTGTTTTTGTTTTTTTTTTAAATTGGGATGCCTGATTATTTCCC